TATATACATACATATACATATATATCTATATACATACATATACATATATACATATCTATATATATACATACATATCTATATATACATATCTATATATATACATACATATCTATATATACATATCTATATATACATATACACATATACATACATATCTATATATATATATATACATACATATCTATACACATATACATACATACATATCTATACACATACATACATACATATCTATATATATATACATACACATACATATCTATATACATACACATACATATCTATATATATATACACATACATATTTATATATATATACACATACATATCTATATATATATACACATACATATCTATATATATACACATACATATCTATCTATCTATATATATCTATATATATATCTATATATATCTATATATATCTATCTATATGTATATATCTATCTATATCTATATCTATCTATATATCTATATATCTATCTATATATCTATATATCTATCTATATATCTATATATATATCTATATATCTATATATCTATATATCTATCTATATATATATATATATATATATATATATATATATATATATACACACACACACACATATATAGTATTTAGCTGTCTTTGTAAACCACAAAAGTCTCTTTTGACACGTTCCAGAGTTTGAGATGCTGAGAACAAGGTTTTAAACTATCCCAGGTCTGAAACAGAAGAATGTCTTCCTAGGGAGAGGAGTTTCCTTGTTTTTCTTCTTTCAGGGACATCTTTACAGAAGGACCTTAGTTCCAATTATCAGAAAAATAACTGAATGTTATAACATCTCAAAGTCAGGCATGCATGTATATCTCTACATTCAACTGAGACACACCTTTACTATAATTTTGAGCAAACAAATAATTGATTTTAGGTGTTAATCTTGTTCCATTTCGAAGAAATGTGGAGGCTCATCCCTTTGCACGTGCCCGCCACTTCCGCGTATCGGCTTTTGAAATACAGCTGATATGACCATCGAAGTGCATTTATTCAGCAAAAGTTAGCCTTTGACACACCTTTACTATAATTTTGAGCAAACAAATAATTGTTTTTAATGTTAATCTTGTTAAATTCTTGTTAAAGTTCTCCTGTGCACGCTCCCGCGGCCGCCATTTGGCACAACACCGGCCCACATTTCCGGATTGTCAGCAGTGACGCGTAAGAAACGCAACGTTGTCAGTGGTGACGCATAATAGACGCAACGTATACGGCGAAGCAACCTATTAATGGATTTTTCCACTTTATTAGACAAATATGGACTGATGCGACTTATAGGGTGGAGCGACGTGTCCGCCGGAAAACACAGCATCTAAAATGTGAAATGTATTAATGGCCTTTTCCTACTCTGCTCATGTAATCTGGAACACCTTAAAATAAGAACTGAAGCAGTCCACCTTAATTTCATTAAGGGATTTTAAACATTTGATAATGTCAATAGAAATATGAAAGCAAATATGCTTTTGTTTTTAGTACCTTGTTATATAAGGCACCTTGATTTTTGTTTTATAACACTACCTTTATTTTAATTGCATTTTTACTGTAGTTTATTGTAGTCTGTCTAAAATAGCTCTTTTGAAAATGGGTCCTCGTAACTCAATGAGCCTAACTTGTAGAAATAAAAGTTGAATGAAAAACAATCTTTCAAAACACATTTTTACCACTTTTCTAGTGTCTTTTGTAAGCAATAGCTCTAATTTAGATAGAAGAAAAAAGGGGACTGTTAGATTTGTTAAAACGATTTATTTAAAAACAAATGAGCATATTTTAAAAATACAGAAATAATTTACAACTTAATCGCAGCAACATTTTTGCAAGACGTCAAAGCTGTGCAATAAAAGACGACCTAAAAGAAACGTTTTCTTTTTTAAATCAGGCAGTGATTTCGGATGAGTCTTCTGGCTTCAGAGGTTCGATTACCATAGATCTCAGGTAACCTGAGAAGAAAGAAAATACACAGTATACAGGTGCTGGTCATAAAATTAGAATATCATGAAAAAGTTGAGCAATTCCATTCAAAAAGTGAAACTTGTATATTATATTCATTCATTACAAACATACTGATATATTTCAAATGTTGATTTATTTTAATGTTGATGATTATAACTGACAACTAATGAAAACTACAAATTCAGTATCTCAGAAAATTAGAACATTACTAAATTAAAAAAAAAGGATTTTTTTTTTTAATGTTGGCCAACTGAAAAGTATGAACATGAAAGTATGAGCATGTACAACACTCAGTACTTAGTTGGGGCTCCTTTTGCCTGGATTACTGCATTAATGTGGCGTGGCATGGAGTGGATCAGTCTGTGGCACTGCTCAGGTGTCATGAGAGCCCAGGTTGCTCTGATAGTGGCCTTCAGCTCTTCTGAATTGTTGGGTCTGGTGTATCACATCTTCCTCTTCACAATACCTCATAGATTTTCTATGGAGTTAAGGCCAAGTGAGTTTGTTGGCCAATTAAGAACAAGGATACCATGGTCCTTAAACCAGATACTGGTAACATTGGCACTGTGTGCAGGTGCCAAGTCCTGTTGGAAAATGAAATCTGCATCTCCGTAAAGTTGGTCAGCAGCAGGACGCATGAAGTGTTCTAAAACTTCCTGGTAGATGGTTGCGTTGACCTTGGACCTCAGAAAACAGTGGAGCAACACCAGCAGATGACATGGCACACCAAACCATCACTGACTGTGGAAGCATGCGTTACGATATTTCTTATTTAGACTGGTCCTATGGATTTGATCTGCTCAGAAACGGGATTATAATGAAATTATGACCCGATTCTGACTGGGTTAAACTGGGCCAGCAGCTCTCAAGGGTCTCCCTGGGATTTCAATATCAGTCAAATAGTTTTAATCTGCTTGCCACATCACGTAGAAAGGCTTTGAAGCACCGTCTCATATTTTTCCTAACACGTCAGTCCACATAAGATCCCTGAGATCACACTTAGCCACGCCCCCTCATAGACTGACAGGTTGAGCTCCCCCTTCTGCGAAAGGCGGAGTCTAGGGCCCTAAAAATTAATAATGACACGAGACATCGGGGCTCTTCTTCTGGGTCTGTGGCGTCACAGACTGTAGAGTCCAGCGCTGTGAACTGTAATCTTTTACTGCCTTTTCTAATATAATTTGATAAAACTTAATTGACGTTTCCTTGATTTATTGATTAGTATAGTTGCCACTTATGAGGAAGGTTCGAGCCGGGAGTAAAGACGTGGACTGGAGGGGGTTTCCGGATCCGGTGGTCCGCGGCCAGCTCCCGTCTTTAACACATGACGGTGAACCTCAAGCAACATGGATTCTGTGTCTCTCCTCTCTTCCTCCAGACTCTGGGAACTTGATTTCCAAAGGAAATGCAACATTTACTTTCATCAGAGAACATAACTTTGGACCACTCAGCAGCAGTCCCAGGCGAGACGCTTCTGATGCTGACTGTTGTTCAAGAGTGGCTTGACACAAGGAATGCAACAGCTGAACCCCTCGTCTTGCATACATCTGAGCGTGGTGGTTCTTAAAGCACTGACTCCAGCTGCATTCCACTCTTTGTGATTCTCCCCCACATTTTGGAATGGGTTTTGTTTCACAACCCTCTCCAGGGTGCAGTTATCCCTTTTGCTTGTACACTTTTTCCTACCAAATCTTTTCCTTCTCTTCGTCTCTCTATTAATGTGCTTGGACACAGAGCTCTGTGAACAGCCAGCCTCTTTAGCAATGACCATTTGTGTCTTGCCCTCCTTGAGCAAGGTGTCCATGGTTGTATTGTGGAAAACTGTCAAGTCAGCAGTCTTCCCCATGATTGTGTAGCCTATAGAACTGAGACCATTTAAAGGCCTTTGCAGATGTTTTGAGTTAATTAGCTGATTAGAGTGTGGCACCAGGTCTTCAACATTGAACCTTTTCACAATATTCTAATTTTATGAGATACTGAATTTGGGGTTTTCATTAGTTGTCAGTTATAATCATCAACATTAAAATAATAAGCATTTGAAATATATCAGTCTGTGTGTAATGAATGAATAAACACGTTTACTTGTTGAAGGGAATTACTTTAATAAATCAACTTTTTCATGATTTTCTAATTTTATGACCAGCACTTGTAAATACACATGCTTTGATTGAGAAAATCTACAGGACTTGGACTCAGACTGTTGTTTGTCACCTTCGGTATAATCCGTCTCGGGTCTCACGGCGATCAAGATCCAAGCCAAACCCACCAGCAGAGCCACCACCAGGTTGATGGTCACCCACGGGTGAAGGATCTGATGCTCTGACCCTGGAGACCTGCAGCAGAAATGTTCAGAACTGAGGAGTCAAACCCACCTTTTATTTTAGGATCAGAACATCAGATTGTTGTGGTTACCCCACCATAACGTTGTGTTAAAGGAAGCGTAGATATTGATCCGATCGCTGGTCATCTGCTGGCTCAGAGAGAGGACCAACGCTGAGAAATACACTGAGGAAGAAACAAAGACACAAAGAGTCAGATCAGAGTCTTTAAAAACCTCAGAGTGAATGTTGTGGACTCACAGAACGAAGCCAGAGCCACTGGGTCGAGCGTGATGAACTCCCGCAGAGCCGCAGGGCCTTTGGCCAAATTCACTCTGACAACAAAACCGTATCAGACATATCTAAAAAAAGTTCAATCTGGTCCTCTGGACATTCAAAAAAACATCCAGAGGAGAAGTATCAGACATATTTACACCATATTTATTTCTCAAAACAACATTTACTTTTATTTCTTTGGTTTTTATACAGCTGCACCAACTCAGTCATCCTTCAAAGAAAGGCAACAATTCATGTGCTACATCTATATTCAACAAATCATAAATCAAAACGTTCAGCTCATTCAGAAGGGTGCTATGATATTTGGTATTGGTACAACTTTAGCTTTTTGAAATATTTAGCCTTTTCTGTATTTTTTTTTTTTTTCCTAATAGAAAATGAATTGAGCTCATTTTACATCCTTCATATCTTTAGATTTGTTTACAACCTTTTACTGCTCCTTTCACATTTTGTTCTGGTTCAGCTACTTTCTGCAAATGTACACTTTTTTTAGCTACTTTCAACTAATTTCAGCTGTTTTGTGCTCCTTTCAGATTCTTTCTGATAACTACATTTTTGTGCTTCTAATTTATTTCTGTTAATTTCACCTTGTTATGCTCTTTACTTATTCATGCAAGTTTAAGCTTTTCTTACTATTTCAGCTACTATTTAGCTGTTTTTATGCAAGTTTTCACCTTTTCAGCTAATTCTGCATTTGTTGCACTCAATTCAACTTTTTTCATCCAAATTCATCTTAAAATTTGCTCTCTGAACTTCCTTTTGTTAATTTAAGCTTCTTTCAGCCTTTTTAGCTACTTTTCAGCTGTTTTTTGCTCATTTCAGATAATTTCCACTTTGTGTTCATTTCTGCTTCTTTCAGCCTAATTGGACAAACGTGTTCTTCATACTTTCTTCTGCTAATTGAAGCTTGTTCTACCTTTTCAGCTAGCTTGTTAGCATTTTTTAGCTAATTTCAGCCATTTTCAGATAAATCCAAGTTTTTCATAGTAATTTCTGATACTCTGAGTCTAATTAACTTCTTCCTGCTAATTTCAGCTTGTTATGCTCCTTTCAGCTTAATTAAGCTAGTTTCACTTATTTCAGCTCCTATTTAGATGCTTTATGCCAATCTTAGCTTTTTCAGCTAAGTTAACAATTTTTGCACTCATTTCAGCATTTTTCAGCCTAATTCAGCCAAAACAAGTGCTCTCGCCACTTACTTCTGCTAATTTAAGCTTCTTTCTGCTATTTTAGCTAGTGTTCAGCGTTTTTTTTTATTAATTTTTTGCTGATTTCAGCTTTTTAAAAATTTTTTTTTTTTAGATAATTTCCACTTTTTTATGCTCATTTCTGCTTTTTTCAGCCTAACTGGGCACAATTGTGCTATCTCCACTTCCTTCTGGTAATTTAAGCTTCTTTCTACCTTTTCAGCTATCTTTCAGTTATTTTTTTGCTCGTTTCAGCTTTTAGAGTTAATTTACCAATTTTTTTCTGCTCATTTCTGCTTATTAAACTAAATTCAGCAAGTGTTCTTTCTGCTTTCTTCTGCTAACTTAGGCTTGTTCTTCCATTTCAGCTACATTTCAGCATGTTTTTAACTAACTTCAGCTGTTTTTCAGCAATAAGCATTCACACTGCATTTTCGTAAATGCAGTTTCTCTAGTTACGTTCACGTTTACCCATGTCTTTTTCTTTTGCTTGATTGCTTTCAGCATTCTAACTCCAGAGCTTTACTGCTGCTCTGTTGGTTTAATTATAATTCTGTTTTTTATTGTTTTTGTCTCACTTCTGCTTTTAACCCTTCCAGACTGAGCTGTAATTTCTAACGCGTTAGCTGATGGTAGATTCACCTGTCGAAGGTGGCCACAGTGCTGATGGCCAGCAGCATGTAGAACAGAGACTGGGCCGGGTACGCCAGGTTGTGGTACTGCTCCAGCAGGTTGGGCAGAGCAGTGAGGTGCTGCCCAGAGAGCATGTACACCACCACCACGTTCCACACAGAGCAACCGGCCAGGAAGCCATGACAGTACAGACCGAACACTCTGGAACACAAGCACAACAATAAACAACGGGACATCCTGGACAGGGATGAGCATTCTAACTAGTTGTGTGAATGTTTATGAAGCATCCACACTATTGTGATCCATTTTTCTTCCATACATTATTCAGCGCATTTTCTCGTCTCGCAGTTTTCAAGCTATTTCAACAAATCATAGATCAAAACGTTCAGCTCTTTCAGGACAATCCTGCTGTGACTTTTGGTATCGGTGCAATTTTAGCTTTTTGAAATATTTAGCCTTTTCTGCCACTTTTTTCTCAAAGAAAATTAATTGAGCTCATTTTACCTCCTTCAAATCTTTAGATCTGTTCACAACCTTTTACTGCTCCTTTCACATTTTGTTCTGGTTCAGCTTCTTTCAGCTTCCTTGTGCAAATTTAAACTTTTTTCAGCTAATTTCAGCCGTTTTTCAGCTATTTTGTACTCCTTTCAGATTTATTCTGCTAACTACATTTTTGTGCTTCTTCTAACTTCTTTCTGTTAATTTCAGCTTGTTATGCTCCTTTCAGCTTATTGCTGCAAGTTTCAGCATTCAGCATCAGGTGAAAAGGAGGAACCCAGACCCAGACCAGTGGTCATTCCATATGTTGAGGGAGTATCAGAGAAACTGAGACGTTTATTTTCCAAACATAACGTCCCAGTGGCTTTTAAACCCCAAAATACATTACGGCAAAGACTGGTTCATCCCAAAGATCCAGTCCCCCGGCACAAACAGAGTAATGTTGTGTATGCTGTTTAGTGTCAGGAGGGCTGTGATCAGTCTTACATCGGGGAAACTAAACAGCCACTGGCCAAAAGGATGGCCCAGCACAGAAGATCAACATCATCAGGCCAGGACTCTGCGGTCTACACTCATCTCCAGGCCAGCGGTCACTCTTTCAAGGATGAAGATGTGCACATCCTGGACAGAGAGGAACGATGGTTTGAGAGAGGAGTAAAGGAGGCCATCTTTGTGAAAAGAAATCGTCCATCATTAAACAGGGGTGGAGGCCTCCGGGTTCAATTGTCCCCCTCTTACAATGCTGTGATTGCTAGTATCACTCAGCCCTCTGTGAACAGTAAACAGCCATCAGTGTGCTAATGATCCATTGTTAGGCTGATGGTCCTTCTTGAGCATGTGATCAGCTGGTTTTGGTTGTCAGCAGCAAACTGGTTGATCCACTCTAAGAAGGTGCTATTTAAGAGACTGAGCTGAAAACAGCTCCTCAGACTGAGGAAGTCTCTTGGATGAGAGACGAAACGTTTCTAGAATTTTTTTTGCTTTGTTTTGCTTTATTTTTTTGAATGTCCAGAGGACCAGATTGAACTTTTTTGGATTTTTCTACCTGGATTATTGAGCATGCATCAAGATAAAGTTTCAGCATTGTTTTGCTAGTTCAGCTACTATTTAACTGTTTTATGCTAATTTGTCTTTTCAGCTAATTCCACAGTTTTTTGCACTCATTTCAACTTTTTTCAGCCTAATTCAGCAAAAATGTGCTCTCTCCACTTCCTCCTAGTAATTTAAGCTACTTTCTGTTTGTATTTGTGTGTGATAATTTCAGCTTTTTTCCAGATAATTTCCACTTTTTGTGCTCATTTCTGCTTCTTTCAGCAAACTTGTGTTCTTTCTGCTTTCTTTTGCTAATTTAAGCTTGTTCTACATTTTCAGCATTTTTTAAGCTAATTTCAGTTGTTTTCAGGTAAAGTCAAGTTTTTCTTGGTAATTTTTGCTACTTTCAGTCAAATTAACTTCTTTATACTAATTTCAGCTTGTTGCGCTCCTTTCAGCTTTATTCAGCTAGTTTCAGCTTTTTCTGCTATTTCAGCTACTATTTAGCTGTTTTTATACAAAATTTAACTTTTTCAGACAATTCCACATTTATGAGTTACTTTCAGTTCTTTCCACTTCCTTATCGTAGGTTAAGCTTCTTTCTGCCTTTTCGGCTATGTTTTAGATGTTTTTTGATCATTTTAGCTTATTTTTAGCCGATTTCCTAATTTTTGTGCTAATTTCTGCTTATTTAAACCCAATTCATCAAATGTGTGTTCTTTTTGTTTTCTTCAGCTAATTTAGGCTTGTTCTTTCATTTTAACTACCGGTACATTTCAGCCTGTTTTTTATAAGCTAATTTCAGCTGTTTTTCAGCAAGTTCTTCTGCAATAAATATTCAAACTGCATTTTCACTGGAAATGCAATTTCTCTAGTTTTTTTATTTTCTGTAAGCTTTTTACAATCTAACTACTTATGCATACTTTGCTATTTTTGCTGTTGATAAATCACAACTTTCATCTCATTCAGGAGCTTCAAGCTAGCTTCTTGGTACTTTCAGTTAACCTTTTGCTACTTTAGCTTTTAGCCTTCATTCTGTTACTTTTAGCTTCTAGTTGTCATTTTGCTTCTTTTAAATTATAGCTAACCTTATGTTTCTTTTAGGTAGCATTTGGCATTTTTAACTAGTGTTTTGCTACATTTAGCTTTTAGTAAGAATTCAACTTTTTCAGCTTTTAGCTAGTGTTTTGCTTTTTGAAGAAATACCTCAATTTGAGCTTCTTCAGCTAATTTCAGCACTCTCTTTGGATTGTTGCACAAAAAGTAATTTCTCTACTTTTGTTGTTGGAGGGTTTTCCTTCACCTGAAGCCTTCGTGCACTCTGACTGAAACGTCTCTGGTGGTCCACAGCGGCTGCATGTGCTGCAAGTCGGCCATGTTGTCCGTCTGTTCGCTGGTCTTCTTCCAGTCCGAGCGCTCGGCAGCTTGGAATCGCTCTGAACGTAAACACACCCACATTTAGCTTCACACCAGAGTTCACTGTTCCAACTCTGTCTGCTTCCTCCGACACTCACTGCTCCTCTCTACAAACACCTTCCCAACCGGCTGGCTCTGACTCTGCGGCGCTGAGAACAAGGCATGCTGGGGGATTGGAGAAGAGGTGTCCGTGATGATGTCGTCGTCTTCTACCTGCAGCTCTTCAGGAAGATGCGACTCGGCAACCTTTGACTTCCTGAAACAAGAGAGGAATACGTGAAGCTTTTTAAATGACTGGCTGAAAATAAGAATAATTCTCTCACTTCTTCTTCTTGGGCTTTTTCACCACTTCTTCTGCGTCGGTGGTCTGATCTCCAGTGTCTCCGTTGACTAGGTCAGCTTGGTCGTCTTCTAAGTCTAAAAACCAGACGTAAAGTAAATTCATAGAATCGCAGCAAACGTCTCAGCGTACTTTTATGCCACCTGTCGACACAGCCTTCTTCTTCTTCCTCCTCCTGTGTGTCGATACGTCCGTTGTGGACTCGAGGGCCAGCTGAGCTCCGACCTCAGATGACCGCCGGCTGTCAATGCCTCCCATCTCCACTGCCTGATCTTAGGGGGGAAAAAAACAAGCTTATACATTTTTAATTAAGTTTTTTTTAAATCAAATGCTGTCAACTTTAAACATGGAATTACCCGTAATGTCTGGACTATACAGCGCACCTGAATATATGCCATGCCCACTAAATAAATTCTAAACTGCGACCCGTCCAGGGTGTACCAATTCCAGCATTGTTGCGCAGAAAGGTAGTGCAGCAATACCAGAATGGTGTTACCCAGCGTAAAATAGCAAAG